AGCTCGTGTAAATATTCGAACTTCACTCACAAGTCATCCCATCCATTCCAAGCGGAAAGCCTACTCGTAGGACAGCTATTTCTACCGGTGAATGTCTCTGCTTGAACTCCGGAAGTCCCGCTAAGGAAACATTTGGCCTCGATGCCACTCGGGAAATCTCGACTATCCTCATTAAAATGCCGGTATTTACGCGGTTCTATTCCGCCGCTTTGCCCATCATCACGATCACCAGGCCGCGTGAGTAATGCAACAGGATCGTCTTGCGCGATCTCTGCTAGCAAGCATTAGCCCCATCTATCTGTGTGTGTGTGTGTGCCCACCGTCGCCGTTTACTTTCGATCGCTCGTCAATCTGCTGACCTTCGACTCCCGCCGCGACGGGCAGCGGGTCTCGATAGCCACCGGCCAATGTGGACGCTAGGTAAAATTATGTAGCCATCGGCGTGCCTAGCCGATGTCCGTTCGAGACGGTCGCGTCCTCCGAGTTCTTCGAATAATCGCGACGCTCGGATTATACTCGCGGAATTAATCGACGTCGAACCGTGCGCGATCCTCAGCCCGCTTCGTTCCGCTTTCGAACTGATGAACCCTCTGGGTTAACGGTTCCGCCTAGGAGGCACGTAATCTTTCCCTGGACCCGCCTCGGGGGAATTGATCGAGGAATGATGACAACGTTCCGTGGTGGTCGCAATTGACATCAATTGAATGGAATCGCGGGTGTCTGGGCGTGTTCCGCGAAATCCTTGCCGACCTGGCTGTCTTCGAATCATGAGTCGTCGAGACTTTCTAAAGGGGGTTAAAGTGGGTGGCATGGAGCAACTGAAAAATTACGCGGGTCTTTCAATGAGTTACGAAACAAACTGCTGGTGTCTTAGTATATGCTTTTGTAGCGACCTGGTCACTACCATTCCCCATGTTTTAAGTAGTATGCGTAAGCGACGATTTACCGGGTTTTTCCGGAAGGTCCTGCTCGGGGCTGGCTTTTGTCGATGTACCCATCTGGCAACCAGACTCGTGCAGGCCTACAGTTTTAACATTAAGGGTGAAATTCATCGAAGGTTGTGACCATTTTTGTCAGGTCATTTTTCCGAGGTTGTTCCCCAAGGTTTTCGGTCTTGGGGGGCATTCTAGAAGAACTCACCGAAGTGTTCACTTCATACCGCCGCGTCAGCGCACAATTTCTAGTATAACTTGTATACGAGTTAATTATATATTGAGTGTTTATATATATCTCGCGATATCATTTCTGCAACGTTCGCGTCCTAATATTAAACGAGTGTGAACAAATATTGACTATAATTACTATACCTATTGTCCCCTCAGTTTATTCGACGAATCTCACGATGTAACTATTGTAGGGGAGGATTTTGTGCGTGTTTGTGAACTTGATGTATGAATGATGAATGTTTGGAGCTAAGCGAATGTTTAGAATAAGATTTGTTTAGCTGCGCGTGGAAGAGTTACGTGTGACTGTTTAGATTGGGTGATTGGAATTTCGGGGAATGGTTGCGTAGTTTGAGAGCGAGGGATGCAAGGCTTGTGTGTGTGTGTTGTAGGTGTGGATGCTTGAGAGAGGGCAGAGTGCGTGGTTTCAGGGCAGTCGTTGGAGAAAAGTCGTGTGGTGAGATTGCACTTGGAGAGTTGACTAGCGTGTTGTGTGTTTTGAATATTTTGACTATACTTTTATTTTATTTTAATAAACAATATATATATACTGGAAATCTCTATTTAATTTCCTACACTATTTTTAGTCATAATCCCCTGCTACAATAATGCACTTGTTATTAGAATAGCTAGTTGTGATTGTTAGATGCGGTGTTATTAGAAAAGCTGGTTACAGTGGTCGTTTAGCTGGAAGAAACTCTTTTATTGGCACAACCGATAAACGGAAACGTTTGGAGTTTGTTAGAGTCACATCATCCAAATGATCCAAATATCTGGAATTACGGTTATACTCGGTGTTTTCAGTTTCCTCAAACTGTAGGTCGTCCGTCTGAAATGAAAATGTTAAATGCAGATTCATCACTGAATATCTACATGTTCTATTAGTATGTCACTCAATCATATTGCACAGGGTTAAAATATGGGAAGTGTAGTGTACGAATACTGTTTTGACCCACTCTGTTCCGCGAAAATTGAAGAGTGCCCTGAAGATTCTACGATATCGTTTGAAAAGATCGTCCTCAATTTCACGACGTTCATGTTGACCCCAGAATCGTAAACACAGTAGAAAGGTGACGATTAAATGATAAGTAAATTGACCAATCTAAATCGACAACGTCCCGCAGGAATGTCCCGATCGAGCGTCGAGGCACGGCCGGCCGGTGCCATCTTTCGATCCCAGCGTGGCCGAATAGTTGGCTTGCTAGCGGGCACGATTGTATCGCGTAGAGCCGGCGGCCCCGAAAAAATTCGAGCAGAATGCCATGACCCAGCGTGGCATTTGCATCCCTGGGATCTAATGAATAGCGAGCATTACGTCCTATTTGGTCTCGTTGCGAGCAGCCGTGTGACGATGCCAGTGCGCATAGCATAGCTCTCGCGCTATTTGCAGTCTGCCTGACCGGGGATAGGGGTGCAGAATGGACATCGACGCCTGGCGTCGGTATGTGCTCAATGGTGGGCTATACCCCTCTTCTAAGGACGTTGCTGGTACGATTTACCTACTGAACGTCAACCCAGACGTCGGGGTTCGATCGACGGATTCAACGGGGTGAGACGAGCAGACAGACGACAGGGTGTACCAGGAGGGGGGAAGGGGTGGGTGGAGAATCCCTCGAATTATCCGCGCCGCTGACAATCGGATATCGAAGCGTTTAATCGACAGGCATTTCGTTTTCGGCGGTCTTGCTGGGCCTGCGTTATTTTGGTGTTGCCTCGACCGACGTCGATACCGCCGCCCCCCATATGGGGGTTGTTGCAATTCGGTAGCGTCGATTGGTCCGTCCAACGCCGACTCTTTATTGAGTGGTTTTGAATGGAATGATATGGGAAAGGGATGAACAGGTTGGGGAACTGCAGTTTATACTGTGGTTAAACCTTTGATGGTTGGCAATGGAGACCGTTTTGGAGGCATTTTCTAAATTGGGAATATTTAATGAATTGTGGTTGTTGATATGTAGATACTGTTGTTGGTGATGTAAAGATGGAGTCGGGGAATATTAACCCTTTGACTGCGAAAAATGTACACTACGGAAGGCGTATATGCACTGGTGCTCATAAGTGTTAGGACACTTATCGAATATATAGTAAATGTTACAAGTCAGTACGAAAATGTTGATAGTTTTAAGTAAATATTATTTAGGGGATATTAAACTTTGATGGATAATGCTTATGCTACTCTATGAATTAATAAAAGTGGCCTACTATATATGATTTTTACGAAACATCATATTTTCTTCGTATTGATTAGATGTCCCACTAGTTATAGCGGTAGTGTATTATACAATCTCGATGGAGGCGTATGTTTACGCCCAGTAAATTTTGCTCACTATGACACACTTAGATATTGTGTTACTTAACTGATAAAGTATACAGTTTAGATAGTGTTTCATTAATTGACATGTTAGTAGAACAACACGCTTACATATTGTGTTACTTAACTGACAAAGTATACAGTTTAAATAGAGTTTCATTAATTGACTTGTTGGAGTGCACGGCAGTAAGAGGGTTAATGAAGATTGAATTATTTCCCGTCAAGCTCGAAATGTCTATTTTTATTCCTCTTCATTCACAGTTAATAGACTGTGATTAAAATGAATTTTCTTTGATACATGATACTTTACTAGCTGCGTGTTGCGTATGCACGTTAATAAATGACAGTTTGTTCGAATTCTGATGATTACAAATATCACCAGGTCCAATAGTTGTTGCGTATAATGTAATGGAGAAGCGTGTGAAAATCGCTAAGTGAAAGGACATTGCGAAATTTATCAAGAACCGCGAATGCAACGGTTCGTGTTCTACTCAAACCGTGACTATCTTAATCGCCGCGTGTATAAACACTGGATCATTAATAAAGTTTATCACATCTTTATTTCTTACAAGACATCCGACTATCGACAAACAGCGTAACTTTGAGAATATTTAAAATGTACAATCCTAACATTTGAATTCTTACCGCAATGGAATGTCATTTACACTTCACGAATGAAAACTTGATATTACATTACCAAAATATGCATAATATCATGGGGAATAAAAATTTTCTTGCATACGTATTCTCATATTATAACAGACTTGCTTATCTAATTATTAACGATAAACTGGCAATGCATTTTGTAAACTTAAGACTCAATTGCGGTGTATACTAAAGAGATTTAAATAACGAAGATACATATTATGCAAACTTTTTTGGTTCAACTATAGTATTGTATAGTGTGTTCTGTTTATACAAACGTTTTAATGGCTTTTCTGCAGTTGATGTAATCGCCAGGATTTTTTTAAAACAATAAAGAATTATGTTAATATATTATGTCTTGATATCAATGCAACTCAGTGAATTGTTGTTTAGCACAAAAATTGACACGATTGAGTGTGTTTTATTGTTTAAAATAAAATTGAAATTAAGTTCCCGAAAAGAAATATTAAAAAATGAAAGAAATAAACGTTACAAATACTGAAAAAAACATTTGTGATTTATTTACATAAGCTGTTAATATCAATCACACTCTGTGGTAAAATGTAAATTTATTAATATAACTTAATTATACAAGTTCACTGAATAATAATATTCCGAAACATTGTTTATTAGAATCAAAATTTTTACTAAAAATACATTTATTATAAAAACGGCATTATATACTATTAAATTATTAGTTTTATTATTAGTCTACTCTTCTAGAACAAAACGTAAAAAAAACGTTTGCACTGAGCCAATATACTTAACGATTAACACTTTACTACATTACTATTACGTATTTCTACTATTGAAATTTTAGTTATATTGTTGCATAGAAAAATTTGTGACAAAAATTAACGAATGTGCTATTCTGTTTGCAGTTGAACGTGCACCAAAGATCACTAGAGGCGGCAGGTGGTTCAGCACCTAGTCCTGCGTCACCGAGGCCAACCCCACAACCACGGCCACCCCTTGCGACAACCACTTCTCAGCCCACCAGAACGTTAGACGACGATAGATCAACGGACGGTGAGTTCGAACAAGAATTCAACAAAGACTGTTTATTTTTTCAGGGAGTTTAACCCTTAACTGATGACGTGATTATTATTACACAAATCTCACTATACACAAATCATATTACTAGACTGAGGATATTTTTGTATTACCAGCATCTCTCAACTTGCAAAACGTATGAAAATGAAGGTTTTAATAAAGTTAAACGTTATTTATGTATTATTGTTACCGTTATAAACTTCATAGTATATGATTTAAAGTTCTATACACTACTAATTTTTGTATATTTGCATCCAGAATTGTGAATGTGTATAAACTTCCGCAGTCTACATATTACTTACCGCACAACTACATAATTTGTTTGCATTCTTATGTAAAAAAAACAACGATTGTATAAGAGTATAATATTTTAAAAATATTAATGGGGTTCATCAGACCCCACCACATCAGTTAAGGATTAAATTATTAATAAAAATATTTGCCTCCAAGACTCCAATTCGGACACGTACTATATTAAACACAAAACACAGAATAATTAAAATTGTTGAAATAATAAGTTATGATAGATAAAACAATAAATAATGTTTTACAAATTTAACAGAACGTAATGAAAATGGACTGGGTACTGGTGCATATGTTTCGGCGGTATTTCTCACAATAAAACCAAAAAATAACGACGAGTAACTTATGCAGCAAGTACATTCAATCCACACCTGGAAAATCGTACATACCTACCTGTTCACCAGATCAAATGATCTTTCCTTCGCCCAGTAAAAAGGTATCATTACCTTCTTTGTAAACACAGTGCTCGGAACGCTATTGTTTACATGTTCATTGATAGTAACATTTTTATAAAAATGTTGAATTAACGGAAGTGTCAAAACCTGGTAAATTACCGTTACTGATTTCTTTACAGCCGTAGGTACTGGGACTGCCGCGGAGGACTCAGATGACGGTGAAAGCAGAGCGCAATATGTAAATGCGAATTGTGTGGTTTTCACGCATTACCGAGGGGATGCTGCGTCTGAAGTAGAGGAACATTTTCAGAGGGCACTAGCACACGACAAACTAAAAGGTAAGTTACTTTACCGAAACCCATATTTAAAATTTCAGGCGGAACAAAGTGTATTCGAAGCAACTGATCGAATCACACATTACTACACTGCTTGAAACGATTAACGGATCGTGTATTGCAGTCGCCCTGCTCATCAGTACCACGTATAATCTCCAAAAAGTTTTTTATATGAATATAACTAGGTGTCAATGTACCCTCGGGAGCAAACTCGCCTTCCGCTAGAGGCAAAAGTGGCGAAGTGGGAGGGCCTCCCACCACTTGATAAATTTATTTCTGGTGGTCGCCCTTTTCCCTACGTTACTTTTTCCCCTAGTGGAAGCCGAGTTTGCTCGTGGGTGTACATATAGTGTTAGTATTGTACGGAAAAGATATCAATTTAGCAACCCTCTAGCACTTGTTTTGCTTTATTCGCTTATTAGGTACAGTAGGATCATCGTCCATTTATGTTTCGAAAGAAAACTGGCTGAACACTGTTACATTTCGAATTATCGTTATAAATCGCTAAGCTGTACGTACTACTAACTTAAATTAGATGAACCGGACACACAAGAAAAAAAGTAATTTTTGATTAAGAAAAACTTCTTACAGTTATAATACATGAAATACTTATAAACATGGACATACCTCGATCTAATTTTAAACATTTGATCGAAGTATTTAAATACAACTTGTCATAAGTTTAAAAAAACATTTGTCACAATGTTTCGTAGTGAACCTCTTAAGTGTGGAAAGAATTTTCACACGCCGAACTGTGAAGTATTTGACTTAAAAAAAGGAGCGTTTTTATTCTTATAATATTGTTAAAATGAAGTGATATGATTTCTGTGTCGTCAAATTGTATATAAAAGTATAAGCCAAGGCGAATAGATTTGTTCTCCCCATTTGTGGGGTAATATGAAGTCAGACAATTTAATTAAAAGAACATATAAACTCACGAAAACAAATTAATATTTCACAACAAAGCTAAATGTAACAGATAGAGTGATTCGTTCGTGAAAACTAAAAGTGTGGATCCGATTCGTTCCAATTACGATGCCGATGCTTCTACGTCATCGAAGCACGGGAGTCGAAGATCGGACAGCATGAGCCGGGACCGAGACTAATGCATCAAAGGGCGGTGATTTAAACGCATCCACCGGGGATGCAACGCGGAGCCAGCAGAGGCCGATAATAAAGTACGCCATTAGCCAGCGACAACGCTAACAAGCCACGTAACAATTGTACCGTCGTCGTACTTGGGGACCTAAAACCCTCGCTGTCGGCCCGTGGAAGGAGACGAAGAAGAAGGAGTGTAAGTCGCGCGAGAGACGGGGGCGAACAAGGGCGAGAATACGCGAAGCGGGAAAAGAATTGAGCAAAGACGAAAATAAGAGATTAAAAGGAAGAATAGAGTACGAAAAATAAGGAAAAATTTTTAAATTCTAATAAATACTAATACTCTATAAAACAATAAACATGTAGGAGCGCTGCGACAGGATCTAGGAGGCGGAGCAAAAAATTTTTTCAAATTTTGAGGGGTATAGTGTGTAAGAAAATTGTCAGAGTATATGGTAAGTGTATCAGGTACTGTGCCCATTAAGAGGAAGTTCAAACTTTTCGATCTATTAAACAGCTGCTTTTTATATTTTCCTCTTCGGAACATTCTGAAATTATATTTTGATGTCTGTTATATGCATAAGTAGGACTTTTGGTATCGATACACATGTTTTGAGTCTGTTACTTTGGTCTTATATATATATATATATATATAAAAATTCATTTACTGTATATCAGTTACTGAATACCTGTATTGATTACTGTGTGTCAATTAATGTGTACAATTTCCTTTTTGAACATTTTAAAACAATTTATTACCACATTTTTTAATACTTACAATATTATTCTAATAAAAAAGACAAACTAATGCGTAAAAGAGAAACAGAAAGAGTTTGAATCGAAATTAATATGCAATCAGTGGTCAACCCAGGTAAATGTTTTTTGTTAAAGGGGAAAATGAAAGATGTCAATGTGAACATTGAAGAGGTAACTAAAAGACGTAAATTCTATTTCCAGTGTACAAATACATACCCATTATAAATACCGGTTGGAGTACCAATACAGATTTGTTAAGAATGTTTTAACATGCGTCGATTTTTCGTGTAACTTTTTGTTAATATTTTTCGTCATATACGTTCTAACACATTCATACGTCTATTGAGTTATTTTGTGACAATATTTATGTTAGCCATAGTATACATATTATCGCGTATCGTTATAACAAAACGTGTAAAACGGTTGCGCAAAATAGTACACAAAGTAGAAAAATGAGGAAAGATTTAAAAAATAAAGGAGGAAATACGAAAAACATAAAAACCTAAGAAAGCAACCAAATAATCTTATTTTTTAAAAAGTGGTCCAAAAGAAGAGATTTCGGTGTAGTTTAAACCGTGTTATGACTCTTTAAATAACGCTTTTAATGTGAAAAAACTCATATTCCTCCATTTATTTTCACTTTCCACAAATGGAACAACAAGAACTACAAACATGCACAGTAAAATAAATTAATTGACCATTTATGCTCATTCAGGAACCATGCTAAAACAAAATAATCATTTGTCTCCAAACACAGTATTTAAACTCTAAGACGTATATCATCGACTTTATAACGACGTTCGTTACGAAAAGTAGCACGTCTCGTATGTCTTACGAAAAACAGCACGTTTCAGTTTGCTACGTAAAAAAGTGCATTTCATTGTTTCTTATGAATAGCTATTGGCACGTTTCGCTACGAAGAATAACACATTTTGGATTTTTCGACGAAAACTAATACGTCTCGGCGTCAGGTCAGTTTAAATTGTTAAAATGCATCTTGCATCGAAAAATTCAACCCTTGAAAATATTGTTTAAGAAATAATTATTCCATTTAATCTCCAGAAGGAACACAATATACAAATTTCAATGTGCACAATTTAAGTATAGTATTTTAATATTGAATAAATTAGTACTAAATAAAACTTTGTCAAACGTGCATCTTTTTGTCGCTAGAAACTTTAAATGCTGATTTTCGTGCCACATCACTCGAGCGTGTTAACTTTCGTAGCGAAAGGCCAATTCAAATACGCCACTTCTCGCTGGGAAGAATGAAACGTGATCCTTTTCGTGACAACGAAGACGAACGAGCTGTTTTTCTTACGAAAAATGGATCTGGCTACTTTTGGTAACGCACGTCACCAAGAACCAAGACTACAATCTACCAAAACGAAAAGAAAAAAAGTATAAGAACGGCTGCATACTAAAATCGTACAATTTGATAGAGAGAGAGAGAGAAAAAAAGAATAACATGGACGACATAGCGAAGGTACAAGAAGGAACATTCATAACCACCAGAAAAGGAATTGAATGGAGACGATAGTCGGCGGCGAAACGAATCATCCGGCAGAAGGCCCGCGCGCGCATCGTTCCCGAAAGAAACAGCCCGCTAACGAGAAAGGGCAGAAGGGGGTTTGGGGGTTGTCGGGCACGAGCGGGTTTGGCAAGCGATCGGCGTAGCAGCCCGTCTATATCGGTATCGTTTAAGGCCGCATTTATCTCGCGGCGGTGCTCAGAGATCAGTTCACTAGCCTGCTTAGAATTCAAGACAACACGACCTAATTGTTATGTGCCGTGCGCCTCTCCCTTCACCCGTGGACCCGCCCCATCGTTCCTTCCTAGGCCCCCGCACCCCTTCTTCGTGTACCCCCGCGACCGTTTCATCGCGAGCACGGTTCCTTGGCGTAGGAAAGGTAAATTAAGAGCTTCTACTCTCTCGGGGCCACGAGATGCACGCTGCTGACTCAGGGAGTGAGCAGAAGGAAACGAAACCACGAGGGGGGTGACGGCAAGAGGAGGAAGGACGGTCGATGGTAAGGGGAGAGGGACAGAAACGAGGAGACACTGCCGGAGACAGTTTTAGCCGCGGTATGCCGGCTAACATACGTACAAGGAGTGAACGTCTCATGCCGGGTGAACATGTTCACTGTTAGACACAAAGACACCCTCTGCGGTGGTTCGAGGGAGAAACGATAAGAAGGGTTGAGAATTGCTTGAACCGGCCCGCTACGGCACGTGTTTGCGGTCGAACGGGAACGCTTTGTCCGGGCATGGAATTATTGCGCAACGATGTCTTGTTAAATTGAACAATTTTGCGATGGAGAACTATTTCTAGGAAGATTTTTCTACTGATCGGAAGCTAGGGTCTTGGTGACTGTTTTTTTTTTGTTTATTTTGTTGTCCTTGAGAATAGGGTATCCGATTATCTGCATGTTGCAGCGAAATTTTGTAAGATTAGATTAGAGGACATGGGTACTTGTCAGGTTTTACAATTATTATAGTATTCTTCAGTGGTAACGTAGTTATATTGTAATAGTAACAGTTAAGAGGGGAATTCTAGCGCGTGTATTTCAGAGAGACACTCATTTTAGTTATTACGCTTTTGCTGCCTGGACGCTTTTATGACACAAAACTGAAAACTAATCCATTAGTGCAATACGTGTTCCAAAACAAAACGTTGGTTAAATGTCAACGCAGAAAGTAACTTGGTCCAGGAGGTTATTGAAGCAAGGAGATCATATTGCGAACTACTTCAAGTATAAGAAAAAGATAGCGCAAAATGGTAATTGACTTACAAAATACCCAGAACGAAACCAGTACTCGATTTCGTCGATAAAGTCAGTGCATTAAGACACTAGGTATAAACTAAGAAGCGAATAAAATTAAAACAAGAATTGAAAGAACTACCTTCGATGTGTCCATAGAACGCTTATCGGACAGGAACTGGACGCTAAATGTAATTTCAACGGTAGATCAAAGAAGTGCCGAACACCTAGATCGGCGATACGCGTGCCCCTTAATCACGGCTACTCCGCTTCAAGTTATCAATTATCCGAGTCCCGTATAACCGAGCTAAAGACGTTATTAGCCTTCTCTGCTCTCTGCCGATAACATGTTTCACCAGCTAATGAGTTAAAGGAAGCCACGCTGAG